TTAAAACATTAAAAGTTTATATACGAAATAATTTTTTTTAAATATATACAGTATATTTAATTTTTTTTTTAAAAAATCTATTTTTAATAGCTATTACAGTACATGTAATACTTTGGTAGCTACCTTAATAATAATTAGAGTTATAGTATTACAAATAAACATATAACAAATAGACTTAACTCAAATTAAATAAATCATAATTTTCAAATACCAAAATTTTAATATATATTTTTTTAATAAATAAAATTTATTCCATATTATTTAAAATTTATGAAAAATATTACGCAAAAGTAAAGATCAACGAACTAGAGTACGTAGCTTAATTTTTGACCAAATACAAAGCCGATTTCATCTTCAAGTGATTTACAATACGTACAGACTTTAAGATTAGTTATTATACGTATATATAAATATATACAGTTTATCGATATAAAAGTATACAGTTTATATAAAACTCAAAATTGACTAAACACAAAATCGATTAAAAGTATTAAATATTTGGTAAAAATTAAAGAGCATCTAATACGCTAATCTAAATAAAAACCGATAAATACTAAATATTAGGTAAAAATTAAAGACTATCCAAAACGCTAATCTAAATAAAATCAGGTATACGTATCACGGTTACGTTTCGGTTTCGATTAATCAACGGATTAAATAAAAATATTTATGGTAAAAAATTGATCTTATAATGGAATGGTTTTACTAAAGTATTTTTATTCGGGATGTGAAGTCATGTTACACGTCGGGCACCTACCAAGTAATTCGAATATATAGAATTTAAATATGATAGACTAATTAATTCTGAGTGTTTCAAATATATCGATATATAGGTATATATATAGGAATGAAAATCCCTTAAAATTACATTAGAAAAATGTTTGAACTAAAAAATATATATATAATATATATATAATATATATATATATTATATATACAATATATATTTAAGACATTAAATTATTAAATATATAGGTATATTATATAAATATAATCATATGTTATCAATTTTCGAAAATGTCGGTTGTGTGTGAGATTTGTGTTGGCGTCTCTCGAATTTTTCATAACGATGCACAAATGCTTGAAGTACGATTGTAAAGTAAACCTTTAATGAAAAGTAATGATTTAGTTAGAATATTTTTTTATAATAATAATAAAGGAAAAAAAAAGAAATATATTTACATGAAAAACAATTTGAAGAACAGCTAACACTGCAAACCCAACGATGTATGAATTTGCCTGATATTTATCATTATAAGGTTGTTTTCTTGAGTACGCTATGGAGATCACAGTTACAATTACTAATACAGTGTTTATAAATACAGCGATTAACCAAGCGGCATATTTATATAATCGCAAGGCTGATGTAGATTTCTAAAAAAAAAAAAAAAGAAACGTTACAATATGCTTGCGGAATTGACATACAATATTTTAATGTAAGAAAAAAGAAGCGTACATATACATAATAAGCAACAAGACCAAATACACTTAATAAAAAGAGCATAATGGAATAACAAAAAAGGATAATTATAATGCCCAATGGTTTGATTATTACTATAAATTAAAGAATGATGGTATATTGATTAATAATTTTTAGATTGAATAAATAAAAGAAGAAGTCAATAAATATTAAGCTAGACCTACCATCGATATTGTCATCGTCACTAGTCCAAGCTATTCGGAATAAAACAGCAAGAGCAGAACCCTCTATCTAATAATAGCAACAACAACAATAATAATAATAATTATATAGAGTTTTAGTAAGTAATAAGTGAATTCATTACAAAATGCACTTAAGTATATTAATCATCTCATAGTAATTGTTAACTGACTTTCAATAGTCAATGATCAATAAGTATAGTTGTAAAAAGTATTTTTAATAGGGGGTTAAGGAACTTCAATCGATCACCAAATTTTTAATTCACGCAACTTTAAGTGCATCATAATTTTAATTTTTAATTATAAAAAAAAAATAAGGTAATTACCAGCCATGCTAAACTTGTAATTATGAAACCTAATCTTAACCCTATACAAAAACAAAAATTATCGTTACGATTGTCTGATTTTTTTTTTCCTGAACCCATGTTTTATTATTATTATTAAAAAATTGAGCTATTATAATAAAATGTGTATGGAATTTATCCGTTTCTTTGGACTATTTTGTGATTCGAATTTTTTATAATATATATATATATATATATATCGTTTCTTGTGAAAAAGAAAACACGGCTGATAAAGATTTTAAAATTTTTTTTTTCAAATCAATTTATGAGCTATATATAAAGAAATTTAGGAGGAATATTTAGTAAGAAACAATTGTAATAATATATATTTTAAAATCTATTGATTTGGAACAGATTTTCAAAAGTAATGATGATTGCGCATGAATCTTAGTCAAGATCCGAGAGTCCAAAGAATGAATTACTCTGGAAACCGAAGCTTTTTAAATTCATGAGAAACCGGGTGTATCTTTTGCTCATCGATCACATGCATGGTTTAATAAAATCCTATGCTTATATCGGGGTATAGATAAATTTGTATTATTTGACCGTACAGTACTAAATATATATATATAAAATAAAGCATAGACAAAAAAAAGTATAAAAAGAAAAAGATGTGTACGTTTGTCCTTAAAAGGTCTTACGAACGAAATCCAAAAATAAATGTTGTAACGGTAATAACTGAATAAGTCAGAGTTACCGTCTCTTTCTAAAAAAAGATGTCAGAAGGTACGTACGTATAACTTTTTTTTTAACAGTTAAATAGAAGTTTCTCTAATTGCACAATCCAAAGTTCACAGTATTCTTAAACCTGGACATAAATTTAACAATGGAGCATATAGTGAGCATACACAGTAAAACACTTACAGTAACTTAAAAATATCGTAAAATTTGAATATCTCATGGTAATATTCATTCATATATAAAATAATCATAATAATCATAATATAATTACATAGATCATATAGATTATATAGATCATATAGATCATATAAAATCTTTCAAAGAGCACGTACTGGTTCGTTCACTATAAAGGGGATATAATTGACATTTTTGTTATTATTCAATTTATTCAATTAAAAAACTTTTTCTAATTAAGGAAAAAAAAGTGAATGATAAACGATATGAAAATGATATATAAAGGGGTATGAATTAATGATTTAACGAACGAATTGAATTCATTTCTATTCTAATTTTTAATGCAAACCAACAAAGATTTATTACCTTGAATAATCATTTAATATTCATTGTTACCCTGTTACTAATAGTTACTAATAACGATATAAATGTACGTACTTACATACGTACGTATGTATGTGGGTGTAACACACCATTTTGACCTAGCATGTGTTAATTTAACGGATGTTTATTTAGGAATCTTGTACGGCAAAGGTTTGTCCATAAAAGTTTTTTAGTGGTAAATCATTACATGCATCGTAAAAACAATTTATGTTTTTTTGTACTATTGAGAATTTTTTTAGAACGTTCTTATGATCGAATATTATACATATATATTATACATATATATCTGATATTATACATATATATCTGATATTATACCTATTATATACTGCCTATTATATGCTGCCTATTATATACTGCCTATTATATACTGCCTATTATATATATACTGTATTATACATTCTAAGTTACGTATTCTTTTAACTTTTTATTATTTAACTTTTTATAAAATGAAATTATCTACCTTCTGTTTTTATATGACGTTTCCCTCATGTCATTTTAATCTTATTCGTTCTACCTTAATTATCTGGTTGCATTTATAATGTACTGATAGCATATATGCTCGTCGTTTATGCACTATTTTAAAAAAATTCTACATAAAGTATTATATATTTTTGAATAAGAAATGATTATCATAAAAAAAAACCACTTGAGATTATATATAGAAATTTCTACCTTTTTTTTTTACCATTGATTGATTTATTGTTTTTGACCATTGAACAACATGATCAAAATTTGTTATCGTAACCATGAATAAATCTTTTTTTTTTAAAAAAAAAAAGTTAAAACAAGCTTTGTGTATGTAATATAAAGCAATGCATAAAGGTGATCCAATGTATCACAAACCACACAATCTCAGTTCAAATCTCCCGCCAATTTGTTTTTTTTCAATATAAATAAGGAGTTTATAGAGTAAGCCCTCGTGGCTTCCCCTGAAAAAAATTGCGCACAATCATACCGACATTCTAAAATTCTTAATTAAATAACAATACATAACCTTTCTTCTATCGATCCTTCTTTTGACTTGAACGTATGCTTAAAAAATCTCTCTTTTCGCACAGGCATGCGTCGTTAACTGATGGATCTTAATTAATCATCTTATTATCTATATTATCTACATTATCTATATTACTGTATCCGAATTTATATATTCACTAAATTGTTTTTTTAAAAAAAAAAAACCTGATGATTGATTGCAAAATTAAACATTTTAAAAAAAAAACAAATCGTTATTATTCAAAAAAAAAATAAAAAACAAAAATAAAAAAATAAAATAAAATAAAAAATCAACAAGCAATCTTGCTTATTATTATTATTATTATATATTTTTTTCCCTAATTTTACCCATCGTTCACTTTACAACAATATTCACTTTCATTAACTCTCATTACCTCTCAATAATTCATATAAACATCTTCACAATATTTTATTTGCATTACGTCATTTCTTCCTAAATTTTGCTAGCATAATTTCATCTCCGAATACAATATCATCAGGGAAATTGATATCACGGTGGGAACAAATTATTATTTTTTTTTTAACAAAAGATAAAAGTTCCATCGTTCGTTTCTTAGTTTTTTTTAATCTTTTTTTTTATTTTTTTTTCTCGGATACAAATTGAGACATATTAAGACAACAATTGAGAATTTTTCAAAAAATTTCTTATTGTTACAAATCCCTTTTTTTTTAAAGAAAAAGTCGCTATTTTTTTAAAAAATTCATTTTATATATTCAAAAATTTTTTTAACTAGATTAAAAATGCTCAATTTGAAAGTTACAAAATTTCCATTGGCTCAAATAGAATCTGACGAGGAAAATTGGGATGATATAGAAATTCCTTCTTCTGGTTTAATAATAACCGATAATACCTCCGATGATGACGATATTAATAATATCGGTAAAATAGCTACTAATGATATGTCAGGTATAACGATAGTTGATTCTGATGATGACGTTGACAATATATTACAATCTACTGTAGCTTTTGATCAAAAGTCTTTATTCACTTCAACAAATAAAAATTCTCAACTATTAGATGATTTCAATATCCTTAATGGAAATACAACTACAACTGCTGCTGCTGCTGCAATAACAACTACAACAACTACAACTCCTACAAAATCAACTACTACAACTCCTACAACTCCTACAAAATCAACTACTACAACTACTACAACTCCTACAAAATCAACAAAATCAACTACACCTACAAAATCAACAAAATCAACTACTACTCCAAAATCTCCAAAATCTCGACGTAAACGTGACGATGATTTAAACGCCGTTAAAGCTATGATTGGTGATTTAAAAAATTCTTTATCTAATAATGAATTTACTGGTACTATTACTATGTTAGGTGGTGATAATCCTAAAAAAGTTATAGATATGGATGATTGGGATAATGATATGGAAATACCTGAAGCTGGTTTATCCCTATGTGATCATTCAAAATCTTTTAATTATAATATTAATAGTTGGGATGATGAATTTCTTAATTCAAATGAGCTTTTTTTATCAAATCCTGATAATGTTAATATTACTAGTTTAAAAAATATTGTTGTTAAAAGAGTTGATCTTCCTATTACTACTACTACTATTCAACGTATTTCTCCTGAAAAAGTCGTTGAAAGTTTTGATCAAGATTTTGATTTATTAGATTCAAATGATTTAAATTTTTCTACTGAAGCTTTAAAAGTTTATGGTGGAGATGATGATGATGATAATGAAGATGATGATTATTATTATTATGATGATAATTATGGTGCTTTCGATTCTGAAGGTGCTAATAATATTATGTCTAGTGCTTCTATTTCAAGAAATTCAAGATTTAATATTATTGTTAGTCCTTCTCCAAGTTCAAGTAATTTCGAAAGTGAAGATGATGAAAGTTTTGATGATTTACAAATTCCTGATTCTATTGATAAACTTACTTTATTTCATCCGAGACGTGAATATCAAAATTCTCCTCTTTCTCAATCTGATCCTATTATTAAAGATAATTCTATGATGGATTATAAATTATACGATGATGATGATTGTGAGGATAATTTTTGGTCGGGATTAGATGTTCAAGATGATAATGCTTTTGAACCTGATAATATTAAGCACAAAAATATCGTTCCTCGATCTGTACCATTACAACAAAAAAGACCAAGAAGACAATCTTTTACTATCGAATTTTCTCCTTCTTTGGTTTCAGATTCATTACAACTATCGAATTCAAATTCTTTAATGAATTCAAATTCTTCTTTAATGAATTCAAATTCTTCTTTAATGAATTCAAATTCTTCTTTAATGAATTCAAATTCTTCTTTAATGAATGTTGATGATCCTCAATCTTTTGATATAAATGAATTTTCTCATTCTAAAGATTCTTCTTCAACTTCTGAAAAAAGTACTGCTTCTACAAATTCTACAACAAATTCTACAATTTCTACAAATAGTCCTTCAAAAAAATCTTCTTTATCAAAATCTGTAACTAGAAAGAATTGTCTTTCATCTTTGGTAACTCCTCCATCATCTCCAACCAAAGTGGTATCACATTCAAAAAAAGATACTAGTGTTATATCAAAGCGACCTTCCGTTATATCATCTAAAACTTCTTCTTCTCCTCCTTTGAAAAAGTGTAAATCAAATATGACTTTATCAAAAAATTCCGACTCGTCAAAATCAACTTCTTTTCCAAAAGAAAAAGATTCAACAAAATCTAGTACGAGTGCAAAATCTAATACAAAGTCTAGTACAACAAAATCTAGTGCAAAATCCAATGCAACAAAATCCAATGCAAAATCTAGTACAAAATCTAGTACAACAAAATCTAATGCAAAATCTAGTACAACAAAATCTAATGCAAAATCTATTACAAAGAATTCTACGTTATCAAAATCTCGTACTTCAACAATTTCAAAAGGTTCAAACACAAATGATACAAGTAGCGTTAAAGAAAATTTCAATCCTTTGATAAAATCAAAAAAATCTTTTGTTACTTCCAACAAATCTTCATCAACAAACAAATCTTTAACTTCTACAAGACTTTTAAAGGTGGCTTCATCACCTTCATTAAAAACTGAAAAACTTTCTGGTGATTCATCTTTAACGAAACATGTAAATATTTCTTCAGTTTCGTTAGCAAGTGTTAAAACTCATCGTTCATTACCTTCTATGACGAAGAAGTCATCATCATCATCAAAAATTACAAAATTACTTGATAGTCCTAAACCTACACATTCTCGTGTAAAATCTGCTCCAATGTCACTTTCTGTAACTTCAACAGTAAATAAGATTAAAAAAAATCAAAAGAATTATGAATCAAAAACTTTACGTGTTATGCTTAAACCAAATAATTCTCAAAATTATGGTGATGGAACTGAATTAGATGTATTTGATGATTTACCAGTTAGTTTAGATAATGAAAGAGCTTATAAAAAATTTCCTGCATCTCCGATTTTTGGTACTTTTATTAAAAGTTAGTTTGTTTTTTGTATTGTTAAATACATTAATAAATATATTAATTATCTTATTTGTTATAATTTTTTTTTTTTTACAAATAGATGCTAATTCTGGCATTTTGTCAGATAGAAAAAATAGTGTTTCTTCGATTGCATCAAAGGCTTCATCGAAAAGCATTACTGAATCTCGAAGGAATTCAACCAGTAGTAAAAAGGTGAATAGAATTTATTTCGATTTTTATAATAATAATTATTTATAATAATAATTATTTATTTTATTAATTATTTATTTTATTAATTATTTATTTTTTATTAATTTTTAATTAGAAAAATCGCCAAAAAAAGCCACATCTGATTCGTAATTTGAATTCTGAAAAGGGTACTAAAGGTAACTTTTATATTAACTTTTTTCTCTAACATAAATATAACAAATTATATAACAAATTATATTATTACGACAGTTATTGGCGAGATGGTATATAACCCAGTTTTACAAAGATGGGATGGTAATGAATCAGTTCTCAAAGATTTTGAACCTTCACCACAACGACCTGCTTTAATATCAAATATGAATCCTCAATCTGCAAAATCTTTACATATGGTTGGTAAAATGATATTTGATCCTGTAAAAATGTGTTGGTTTCATTCTTCTGCCAAAGACAATAATAATTCCATGTCATCTGAAGAAGAAGAATTATTAGCTTTATTTGATTCTGAAGAAGAAATTGATCTTGAAAATACTAATAATACTGATGATCTTGTTGATGAATCAAATAAATTTAAATATCATACTTCAAGTGGTGAAATATTTGGAATGAATCACGGTGGAAATGATGAATTATGGGATGGATTAAATTCAACTTCATTAGTATTTAGTGATGGTGATCATAATGAAATTATATGTAGTGCAGAAGGAAGAAAACGTCGGCATAGAATTATTCCAACGGGAAATGGAAGTAATCAATCAAATGATAATAATAATGAATTTCAAGTTGGTTCCGAATTTGATGTTTCTAAAGGATTTTTAGCCGCTTTAGTGGCTTCTGAACGTCAACATAAAAAAGAAATGAACCGTTGGTATCCAGCTATTAGAAGTATTAGTAATGAACAAAGGTTTGGATTGAGAGATAGAAATTACCAAAGAGGATTTTTATATGAGATTAGAAATCCCGCTATTGTATGTTATATTTGATATATACATATCTATTTATTTATTTTTTTTATATTCTATTATTTTTTTTTTTTATTTTTTGCTTTTTTTCTTGGAGAAAGATCGAATGATTTATTTATTAGTTTAAAGGAATGTATTGTATTAGCTAATTTAATTTTTTTTGCGAATATAGGTAAATAGTATGACAACTCTAAATTCTGGAAAACATAGAAAAAGTTTTTCTAATGGAACGTTACCCAATAACAGTACTAAATCATCGATCTCCAAATAATATAAGAATTTTTTTTTTTTTTTTATATACGTTTAAGATATATGTGTATATATATATATTTGTTTCTTATGAACTTTATATTTTTGTGATAGGTGAAACTTTCATCTAGCAGTGAAAAAAAATTTAATTTTACTTTCAAAAAAAAAAAAAAACTTTTGTTATGTCTACCGTCAATTTTATTAGTTTTTTAAAAATAGTATGTTCTTTTTTAAAAAAATATTCACATACTTTTTAAATACTTTTAAATACTTTTAAATACTTTTAAATACTTTTAAAATACTTTTAAAATACTTTTAAATACTTTTAAATACTTTAAGTGAATTCATGCAACTAAAATTCATTACTTTTAAAATAACCCTATATGCCTTTGTTAACTTTGTAAAAAGATTTTCATTTATCTTCACTTGTTCATAGTGTTTTTTTTTACTATATATATTTTCAAATATGTCTTTTATTACCGATTCCAATTTTTCAACCCCTTAACAATGCATATTTTGCATCATGTTTTGTTTTTTTAAATACCATTTCCTTTTTTTGTTTTTTTGTTCTATCATAAATTTGTACATACTTACATGTAACAATTTCATTTTTATTATTAAAAAAATTTTTAAGTCTTTGAAGAATATTAAAATGTCTTATAATTAGATAATTGATAACAACTGTATTAAACGTATTAATATCATACGTTACGTTTAAAGAATCATTTAATCACTAAAACATTTATTGATTATACGATCGATTTCTTTTGAATAAATTTTTCAGTGGTAGATTCTTGGAGAAAACATATAATGAAATCAAATTACTAGTATCGACCTTTTTAATTTTAGTAACTCGAAAGAATAGCTGACGAAACGTTTTCGAATTTTGCTATAATCTGATAAATTTGCAAACTGTTTATTGTGGATCACGTTATCGTTTCTTTTATTTATATTTATTTTCCTTTGCTGAATTGTTTTTATTCGCGAGAAAATTTACGAAACTCTTAAGTAGTATATATTATTTGCAATTTATAGAAATAGAAAATCGTACCTCGATATTAGAAAATAATATACTGTACAGTACATAGAGATTAATTCGATTAATTCGATTAATTCTCTTTTATGTGTCTATATCGAAGTGCAACCGTCGATGATAAAAAAATATATATACATATAAAACTATTTGCTAAACTTTTTAATTTACAAAGTAGAAGTTTACTTATAATATTTGCACCGTTTTAAAATCATTTCGATTCTTTCCTGATGATTACAATAATTCGAAATTATCATGATTCGAATCATGAGCTTTTAACTCGCGAGTCAATTATCAATGAATTAATTATCGTGACTCGAATTACTCAAATAAAACTCTTCTGAGTTTAATTCACGAATCACGAGGTGATCAAATATCGTCTAGTCATTAAAACTGCTGGTTGTTGAATTTGTATTAAACACTATTAAACACTATTAAACACTATTAAACACTATTAAACACTATTAAACACTATTAAACACTATTAAACACTATTAAA